TATACGTTATCACGAAGATGCCTTAGTTTCCCACACATTTCTCTTGCAAATGTAATACCACAATGGAAAACAGTACTTTCCTTTGTGAAGTTGCTGCTGTTGCTTATGAAAGTGGAAATTGCTCTCTTAGGAAGGAGGAGGAGAAAAAGGAGGAGGTAACTTAAACCACTGGATTTTTTTCTCAATAACAGTATATGGCATGACCAAACGAAAAGTAAGCCACCTTCCAGGTGCTCAGAGCCTGGCTTTTCCCCTACCCCTGGTAGTGGATTGATAGGAGCTGCTTGAATTTCCATTGTTCATTGACTGTGCCATTTGTCAGGTGATCTACCCTTGCTTATGTAATCGCGCATTCCTGTAGTTCGCTCTGTTCTGTCCCGGAGGCTCAGGTGCACGACACACTGAGAAAATTAGATGCAGCACAGCACCAAGCTGCTGACCTTCGGAAATAAAATCAGGCCCATCTGTTACAATGGGTCTTTTTGATGAGGTTATTTTGAGGAACTGTGTTTCCAACAGACCATTTCCATGCTGACCATGTACTTTCTTAAAATATTTTTTATATTTATACAAAAATGATCATATATATATATATATATATATATATATATACCTGTACTGTACACAATATTATAAATAAATTCATTTCCTTTAGAGTTTGTCAAAAGGGGACATATTTTTCATCCTTAGCTAAAACTCTCACCTTCAAAATAATTGAATATAACTATTAAAATCTGAGACATACAAAAACATTTCACAGAATCTTAAGTTTTAAAAAAAGGTTGAATTTCCCAGTTTAATGTGCCTGACTAATCATTTGCCAAAGAACCAAGATTCAATAGGGGGATTAAACTACTTTCTGGTTATATAAAATTCACATTATATTTTCCTTATTTGTTTTCCTTTGAAGCAATGTCAAACTCACAGAAAAGTTGCCGGTTCAAGATAAAGAACTTTTCCCCTCTGAACAACTTACAGACATGATGCCTGATAACCTCAGAATAATTGATCAAATATTTGTTCATCCCCTTTCCACTGTCTCATCTTCGCTGTCCATCTCACAGTCAGATGTTTAGCTATCTAGCTGAATAGTTTATAATAGGGACATATAGATGTGTTGAGTAGCTCTTTATTCTACCTTTTAAACTTGCCCATCTTGCTTTTTTCATGATCTTCTATTATGTAAAGAAAAAAAAAAAGCTACACAAAGTTCAACTTGCAGCTACAGGGAGTCCTGCTGATGAGGCATAAGTTTCAAATCAGCAAAATTCTCTTTATTCCTGTTTCACAGATTTCTTCACTTCTGCCTTTAAACATGGGTTTCTCAAAGGGAGCAGAGGGGACAGTGAGGAGGGGAGAAGCTGTTTCGGGTAACCTAGGCACTTTCACATGCTGCCATCCTGTCTCCCCTTTGTCACTGTCAAACACATCGTGGGATGTTTCTGCACACCATTAGCCCACTCTGAAATGCATTGTTCTGACCTTGGCCTTCATCTCTCCATTGACATCCCAGTATTAAAAGTCACTGAGTCAAAACTGATCTTTCCATCCTCAATGGCCTCAAAACGTTTCTAGAGCCCTTGACCTCTACTGACTTTCCCTATTTTTATCTCTTCTCTTTGTCATACTCTGTGACACTAAAATATCCTATTCTTCCTTCTCCTACTTCTTTGAACACTTCCCAACCATTCTCACAGTTTTTTCCTCTTCTACGTATCTCCAAAGTTTAGTTCGTTGTATTTTTCTCTTCCCTTTGGTCTCTCCCGCTCCTTCACTTTCTTCTCTCCCTCCCTCTCCATCTCTCCCCCTCCCCACACTCAATGTTCACTAGGCTTTAACTCTCACCTCTTTGCAATTTAGAGTCAAATCCATAATTCTACGTCAAGCTTTCTCACAGTTTCGGTCCATTATTTTTAATTCCATGATCAGTTCTTCCACTTGGACATTTGACTCATATTCTTGTAGTCAGTCAACATAACCTCTTTTCTTCCCTTTACCCCAGCCAGGCGGTCACGGTGTCTAATTTAGCCTGGGACAGCAGCTACTCGGTGCCAGCCAAGTGTTGCCACAGAAGACCGCTGACCCATTGCTGACAGATATTCTGCCTTTTTTCTTTTTTCCAAGAGAAACCCAAAAAATTAATTGTTAAGGGAATTTAGATTTTAGATAAACTCTTCCAAGAGTTAGATACTGACAACTAATTTTTATAAGCAAACATGAAACACCCAGCACCTGGGTCAAACAAAACCTGTCTGCAGTCTTCCAGTCAGACTGGACCATGGAGCCTGAAAAGTGAATGCTACGCCTTAGCCTGCGATGCCAAGCCTTCTGAAACCATCCTGAAGCTACCTTCTGGGTTCCAGAACCAGTAATTCAAAGTAACCACGGCTAGCTAACCACTCTACTATACTATCCTCCAAGCACCCATGGTTCTTGCTTACTCTATGTCTGTCATGTTTGTTCCCCACATAAAAAATTAAAAAAAAAATTTTTTTTTCCTCCTAAGTCTCACTTTATGATCCAGTTCAAAGGCGACCATTTATCTGAAAACTTCCCAAACCACATTAGCTTATGAGACTCTCTCTCCCATAGTCAAAAGACAATAATTTCTAGTACTGTGTGTCAGACACAGTCCTGGTCATTACATAAGCCCCATCCCCATAATCCTAAGAAATTGATACTACCATTATTCTCATTTAAAAAATGAGAATATTGAACATTGCCCAGGGTATGTGGCAGAGCGAGGGTTGTAACCATGCAGAAAGTCCATTTCTTTAACATGGTCCTTTCTCCTTTCTGTCTGTTTACTCCCTTCCTGAATCATTAAGTCCTTAGGACATCAGATTCTGGTCAATATCAATGTGTCTTGAGAACTAAGCCTCATGCCCAGGCCTGTGTGGCTCAGTTGGTTGAGCATCGTCCCAGTCAGGGTACCTGTATCTCCAGTGGGGGCATGCAAGGGGCAGCTGATGGATGTTTCTCTTTCATCCATGTTTCTATCTCTCTCTCCTTCTCCCTAACTCTCACTCTAAAATCAATAAAAACATATTATAAAAAAAAGAAAAGAACAAAGCCTCAGGTCTGTTTACTAAAACTAAAGATCTTTACCTCAAGCTAAAGATACCATCTTTACTTCAGTTGTATAGGCAAGCAACCAGAGTTTAAGAAGAAAAACAAATTAGAGAGAAAATCTTCAGGACTTAAGTGTGTATTTGATGGACATTTTGTCATCCACATCCCCTGCCCTCCCTTGGGCCCTCCAAACCCCAGCAACCTGCCCTTTTTCTTCCATATATGTTTGGCTACTGCCTTGGATTTGGCTCTCATTGGTTTTATTTGGAATAGTCCAGTGACTTCTTATTTGATTTATTTGCACACAGTTTTGTGGGAGAGATAGCCATATAAATCATTTCAATACCATACTATTGACAGATATGTGACAGAGCACTTTGAGAACACACTCTTAGGAGAGGAAATAATCTGTGTTTTGATCTGAGAAACCCTAGGGTTGCCTGCTCCTAAAATAATTGTGGTATGAGTGTGAAGACAGCTCTTCTTTCTCTAACATCTATGTATAGGGTCTGTTTCATTCAAGACATGGTCTTACTTCTTTACGCAGTCCATCCTCACACTATTTCTCCATTTATATATATGAAAACTGAAGCACAGAGAGATTAAGAAACATGCCTGTGTACACGGACAGTAACTGTGAAAGCCAGGACTCGAACCCAGCATTCTGGTTCCAACTCTTCATTATCATGATCCCCGAGGCAGGGGCCACACAGTGCTTGGGTCACTGCCAGGCACGTAAAAGAAAGTGAGTCAAACATGACCGATGACATACACAAAAAAGAACTGGAAGAGGAAAGACACTACAGTTCTAAAGGGAACCCCGTGCAAACATTTTCGGACAGGACAGGACTGGACAGGATATGGTGGCAACACAGATCCGCTCTGGTCGACTTGCCCTTCCTGTTCTAGGTTCCCTGGCCTCAACAAAAAGACATTTGTCAGATGCAAACCTGACCAGGTTATTTTCCCCATCTCACTGCTGGGAACTTAGAAATGGGGATGGGAAACCTTACTGCAGTGTTTTTTGAATTTTTACAGGAAACATCTCTCCCTAATGGCTGGCAGATGAGAGCAACCACAGTTCTAAGGGCTAGGCATAGAGCCCAAAAAGTAACCACAACTCTGAGTTCTCACAGACTGTGCCTCACCCTTAATATTCTAACAAGTTGAGCATTTATTTTCTAATGTATCTGTTTGTTGTAATATAAAAATAATGTTTAAAACTACTTATAATTGCAACTGTAGGAGAAAGCCTTTATTCCTACCATCATTTCTAGCACCACCTGGCATACTCCAGCTTCATATACAAAACAGGGCAATGGACCTAATCCAAGCTCCTTGCCATGACACACAAAACCCTTCTGGACCCAGCCCCTGACTGACAGTCTCCTCCCCCATCTCTCCGGAAAACACAACTATTCACAATCACAGAAACAATCAAAGTTCAACCTGTTTTCCACCTCCTGATCTTCAATAATTAGGTCTTCAAGGACTTTGAGAAGACATACCCGTCTTTCCAAACCCTACTTAGGTGTGATTTTATTGACGTCTTTCCTCTACCCTTTTCTTCCCCACAGCAAAACTTAGCAAAACTTCCCTAGTTTAATAAACTGCTTGCCTTCGTTAACGTGGCTTTCTGCCACACTAGGCTGTACTGTCGCTGGAGCAGGCCCTTGATTTAGTCCGTTTAACATCCCCAGTGCCAAGCAGAGCCCTGTCCTAGAGGTAAATCTCTGTCTATAGGAAAACTGGACTCACAATAGATAACCGAATCCCTCAAGAGAAGGCAAGAGAGCTGTGAAAAGGAAATTAAACACAAATGGAAAGATCTGCGCACACATCTCCAGTCTCGATTTTATTCCTAGCAGAACTCCAGGTACCCGGTGCAGGGGACGTCGAGGCCAGAGATCGGGGTCGGCGTCACTCACCAGCTGGTGGAAGGGTGTCTGTTCTCTAGCGTTTTGGTCCAGGGCTTGTACCAGCTGATCTGCTCTGCAGCTTTGCCCCAGAACCTCTCGGGGTCAGTCACCGAGGCCGCGAAGTGGGTCTTGTACTCGCCGCCACCGCCCGAGGACAGCGCGCGGCAGCCCCGGCCCCCAAGAGTGCCCCGCGGGCCGGGGGCCACATAAGCCCTGCGGGCCGGGCCTGCCCCGCGAGCCGGAGAGGACCCGGGCAGAGGTCCCCCGAGTCCTCCGGCGCCAGTGACTTTGCGGCACTGCAGCCAAGACGGCTTCATCGCCGCTAGCTGCCCCCACCTCCTGCAGCTCTGAGACCTGCGGCCCCCGAGTGGACTTCTCAGGCGACAGTTGGGGTGCTGGAGACCTCCTGAGGCTCTGGGGGAGCAGGCGGGGGGCGGGGGCAAATGCCGACTTGAGCCAAGAGCCTAGGAGTTCGGAAGTCACACTAGAGTCGCCGGGAAAAACCGACCTGGAGCTGCAGGGGAAGCAACAGGCCGGAGGGGGGGACGGAGGGTGAGGCGCACAGCGCCCTTGCGCCGGGGCCCTGGGCCCTGCAAGACATCAGTCCCTCCACGCATTGCCCACCCAGCGGTTGCCCCGAAAAGCGCCCTCAAACTGCAGATCGTCCTCCTGTCTCTCACACACAAGTACCTAGGATGAGCCCCAAGGACCCATGTCACTGTTTTCAAGCAAGTTGTGACAGCTTCTCGGGGTAAACCTCTGGAAAGCCAGCCGGGGGCGGCGACGCCTCCGGCCTGCAGCGGGAACCAGCAACCCCAGGTTTCGCTGCGAGGTCCCCGAAGTGCTCGTTTTATTTACGTATTTTTAAAACTCAGCTCAAAACCTGATTATTGAAAACACAAGAGGTTCCAGGGCAAAGACTGCTCCAGGATTTCCTGACAGCTGAGAGAGTAGGAGGCGTGGAAGGAGGTTTCGCAGGCAGACTTGGGAAAAGCGTCCCGGGGCGATTGGGGCCGGCCTGTGGGGTAGGTAACCCACTGAGATAAGGGGTTCACCGGCTGACCGGACTCCCCCAGGACTAGAGGCAGAGAGAAGAATGGACTTGTTACATATCCTCCTTCCAATTGCCTCTTTGGAGTTTCTGTGGATTTTTTTGTTTGTTTTGACTCGAAAAAAGAAATGACTCAAAATAGAAAAAGAGGAAGCTGAAGAAAATTAAAAGAGAAGGGCGGTATAAACTAGTATCTGGATTTAACGTTCTTCACATTCCTTCCCTGTTTTTTACATATTAGTGAAATTCAGGGTCAATCTCATTTGCCTTAGGAGTATGCCAAACATTCTATTTTGGTGTGGCGGCATTTGCAGTTTAAATGTAGAGATGTGCATTAGCCCTGGCCAGTATAGTTCAATGGTTAGAGCGTCGGTGCCACCAAAGGGTCTCTGGTTTAATTCCAGGTCAACGGCATGTATCTGGGTTGCAGGCTGATTCTGCAGATAGGGGCGCATGTGAGAGGCAACCCATAGACGTGTGTCTCACATCAGTGTTTTCTCTCTCTCTCTTTCTCTTCCATCCTTACCACTCTCTCTAAAAATCAATGGAAAAAATATCCTTGGGTGAGGATTAACAACAACAACAACAAAAATGTGTATTCCCAAATCTGAAGTGAGAGTTAGTGGAATGCCCCTGGCCCTAGGAAGAATTGTAAACCTGAGAAGTTGTAAACAGATTATTCTTCAGGAAAAGAAGAATGTGGAGATAAAAGTTAAGCAGAACAGAGATAAATCCATTGTAAAACAAAGAAAATGTCTTTAACTAACCACCTGGGCTATTTCCTTTCAACTGAGAAACAAGGCACTAGACTTTCCTGACCCCTGCAGCCTACTCTATTCCTTCCAAAGGCCTCGGATCAAATGATTTCCAGCAACAAAGACATCTGTCACCACTGGAGTCCTGAGAAAGTTACGAAGCCATTTAACCTACTGGGCACCCTCCTTTACTCTGCCAAGTTGCTTAATGCTTCTCTCTGGTATACATGATCCCCTGACCCCAAATTATTCCCTACTGTATTACAGTGACATTCACCTCAGGCATTTGCTTAACAAATATGTGAGCACCCACACTGCAAGGTGTGGTTTGTTGGGGGAGCTATGAAGGAAGGAAGCAGACAGTTATTGACCTACTATGTGTACACACTGTGCTCCCACTTTCAAATATGTTAGCCCTCTTGATTCTCAAAGGAGTATTAAGAAGTGCGAACTATAATTCCTGTGTTTACAAATGGAGCTTGAGAGAGGTTAACCTGCTCAAGGCTGTGCAGCTCCCAAGCAAAACAGGATTGAAACCTTGTTGATGCTCAGAGCTTGGCAGCCCAACCACCCTGTGAGCCACGTGTGCCATGAAAGGGACCACCACTGCCTCAAGGTGGAGGGTTTGCTGGGGGACATCTACTTCAGTGCTGTCATTTACCCCAGCGGACTGCACAAATAGTACCATTTTCTTTCTCTCTGTGCCCTGACTTGAATAAAATGGGGAATCTGACTCCAAAGTCCAGGATTTCCCCACCAGGCTGATTATCTTTTTATTTTAAAAATGTTCAGACTTCCAATGAAATATGACAAACTGAATACGCAGATGGATCTCTCTTTATCTAGAAAGTCTACTGAAAAAGAACCAAAGAGGAATGGTGGTGGTGGTGATGATGGTTAAAAAAAAACAAAAACAAAAACAAAAAAACCCACAAAGACAAAGAGACGGAGAGAAGAAACCAAATAAGAGGTTGGGGAAAAGGTGGATGTTTAATCTATGACTTAAGGGTAGGAGCTGAATTTAACTGCTTTTAGAGGAGAAAACTATTTTCTCATTAGAAACCTGGAATGTCTCATGATTTTGAGGCCTGGGATTCTTGTCAAGGTTCAAATGGAAGGTTAAGGTAAAGTTAGACACCCCCCATCCCCCCATCCACATTGTCAGATGAAACCATTTTCTCTGGACTCAGCAGTGCAGTAGTCCACTGGGCATGCCTGGAACCTGGGATGATCCCCGAACCTATCTATGCAATGTTTTTGCTATACATACATACCTTTTCACTTAAAGGAAACACCTTCTGGCTTCTCTTTGACATATCCAAATCACCAGAATCACTGCTTGTGCACTTTGGGGCCATTATTAAGTCAAGTGAGGGTTACTGAAACACCAGCACCTCAATACCGAGACAATCATGATAACCAAGATAGCAACTGACTGACTAAGGGGCAGGAAGCATGTAGGGCATGGATACTCTGGACAAAGAGATGAGTCACATCCCAGGCAGCACGGAGCCGCAGTGTGAGATGTCATCATACAGCTCAGAATTCAAAACTTACAAACTGCTCATTTCTGGAATTTCCCACGTAATCTTCTTTGGCTACTTTTGAATGTAGGGAACAAACCCCAGAAAGCAAAATCACGGATGGGGGCGGTGGCTACTGTCATTGTCTTATTTTAAGTAATTGTACAAAATAGACTGTTAATGTAAGTTCCGTCGCAGGCGGGGAAGAGCGTGCGTGCGGGCTCCGTCCGGCAGAGGCAAGGCTGCTGTGCAGGGGCAGCGCAGGAGTGCGCAGTGGGGCTAGAAACCTTCCTGGGAGCCAGACAGGGAGAGCAAAACAGCGTCAGCACTGCGGGGCCTGAGGGTAGATCACTGGCCTATAAATTAAAACACAAAAAACTTGTTGACTGGTCACTAAGCATATGCGAAGCTTAAAATCATTATTCATTGAGTCTCCATTTGAATCCTAGTAACTAATAAGTGGGAAAACTTGGAAAATAGATGAACTTCCCTACACTGGCATTTCAGTACTTGTATTCTGAGATCACTTATCTCACAGGATTGTTGCACAGTTTAAATATTTGTAAATTGCTTAGCATCGGGGCAGTAGCAAAACAAGCTAATTTAGGACAGTGGCAAAGCCTGTGAACAAACAACTGAGCCAAAAAATAAGCCCCCCAAAACCTTCAGCTATCTTACCATACTTAAAATGAGACAATCAGATAATTTCTAAAGGAATTATTTTAATTTAACCATGCATGTGTATCTGTACTATTTCAAAACAAATAGTATTACATTTTAAATTAATTTGGGGATAGAGAATCATGATCTTTTAAAAGTTTAAGCATTATACAACTCCAGCATTTAAATATACAATATTTATTTTATTGTATTTTAATAAATGATATATATTAATATGCTATTCGAGATGACATTTTAAACACCGTGAGCAAATATTAATTAATCAGATTATCTGAGAAGAGCTTTCTAGTAAATAGAAAAAGCATATGATGGAGAGGATGCAGAGAAACTAGAGTATAGGATAAAAAGGTTTGAAGCCTGCTTAAGAAAGAAGGAAGCTGGGGTCAAAATACTTAATGCCTAAGAGAAAGATATTGAGAATAATAGGAGGAAACCAGACTGAAATTAGAATTAAAGGAGACAAAATGATACAGAAATCCCACAATTTATTTTTCCCATTTTATAATATTTTGCTATGTTTGGTCATCCCCAGTACAAGCAAACCTTCTTACCAGAGAGAAGCAACGTTATTAAAGAGGATACAATTTTAAAAGAATTGTAGATTACCTTGTTCATATGTAATTCATATTTTCACATAATTTTGCTAAGGGTCAAATGTTTGACTTTGAGTAAGTAGGTAAATAATAGAGTTCCTGAGATTTTGCTTATAACAAAAACAAGAATGTTCCTATACATCTAATTTCCTGGTTATTGTGAAAATGTGTCAAGTAAACAAGGAAACTTTTGCTCCAAGTACTTTATCTCTGCAGCAAAGGCACGCTGAGCTGAAATCTGAGCCTCCAGAAACACTGTACATTTATTCCCATTTAACAAAGGGACTCTGGAAACTGTGCTGATTTTCACAGCCTAAAAAATATTTTTAAAATTTTTATAAAGTGATATGGTGCCTAATAATGTCACTATAAACTCTTATTTTAAAACTTCCTTTTGCTCACATAGTAATTGCAATAAAGGCAAGGAGGAAAGGGCACATGAAAGAATTGTTTCAAAACAGTCTACATTCTGAAGGAAGTTCAGAGTTGCAGAGGTCAGGCTAGAAGCAGGTCAGTGTGCCACTGTAGACGCCCCCAGTTGCAGACTTTGAACTAGAGCAGCCTAAAAAGTGAACTCTGAGAAGAAAACACACATTTTTATTTTTTTAATTAATATTAGAGAGAGAGAAGAAGGGAGAGGGAGAAAGATAGAAAAACCAATGAGAGAGAACATCGATTGGCTGCCTCCTACATGCCCCCCACTGGGAATTGAGCCCACAACCTGGAATTGAACCGGCGACTTCTTGGTGCATGGGTCGATGCTCAACCACTGAGCCACTGGCCAGACCACACATTTTGAGATAAATAACTCTAGACTCTTTTATTGCTTAGAAGGCATGGCCCAGCAGCCTTACCCAAGTTTCTGGTACCAGAATCCTGCCTGTAATTCATTCTCTGTTCCTAACTAGGCAGGATTCTGAAAAGGAAATCTGTA